TTTCAAAACAGTTGATGTGTCTAAACTTCGAAAAGCATGCATCGTTGGAAGTAATTGTTACTATGATTAGGAATTGAACTCTAGAAGTATGCACGTCAAATAGCCTTGAGTAGTGCAAGTCAATATAGAGAATAACTCGTTATGGTGGAAATTATGAAAGTTGCGCGGTTGTCAGCTGGATTCTCCATACGATTCCGAGCAGAATGATATATGGATATTGGGGGTTTCGTTGAGTAGGAGTCAAGATAAGCCACCAGAGCCAAATGCCCCGTCGGCTCTGGTCGTTCTCTGCCGCCTCTCAAAATTGCACACTCTCTAGCAACCAAACGTCTTTTACGGGGCATTTGGCTGTGGTGCCCTTTTCTCCGTTATTTGCGAATTAATGTAAGCAAATCGTATATCATTATGAAGGCCTTGAAACGTACATTTGAACAGACAACTGTGCAACGATCTTTTTGGTCTGTGAATGAAATAAGAAAAATCGTTTTTTTTTGTTTTCCTCGATTTCTAAGTCAAATTAAAGTTTTTAATTCCGTTTTTCCTCTCATTCGATAGGAAATCTTACTCACAATTCAGCTGACAACTGCGCAAGTTTCAGTTTCAAGTATCCAACGAATTTTTCTAAAGGACAAAAAACCCCTATTTCTTTTTACGACTTTCTGGAGATTTCTTGCGGCTAGACTATCTCAACCTTAAGATCATTCCGTTCGCAATATTGCGCTGTAGAACGTAGACAACTGCGCACTTTCAGCGATCATGAACTCAAGGAAAAAATTTAAAGTAAACATGCGAATATGACTTTTCTCTCAAGTCGTTTTTTATTTAAAATTAAGAAGAATGAATCTGCTTTCAGTCTCATTCTCAGCACCTAACTTTATAGATTGGGGACACCACCATGCATCTCACGTGACCACTCTCGTAATCCCATAAATCACTTTGTTTTTCTCCGCGTTTCCTCCGTTTTCCATCCTTGGTTGTTCCCAAGGAGAAACAATACAATTAAAGCGCGAAAGTTCAGAATTCAAATGACTGCTCAAGGAAGTAAGAGTGTCAAACACGTTGATACACGTTGAATCATGTCAATATCTCACAATTTCACTTTTATGTAAAAAAGACGTCTCTAGCTCCACAATTTTTTGGAAGTATATGCGCAAAAAGGAAGGAAGACGAAGAAACTGATTGG